AATACATTTAACATACAAAACGTGTTTATTGACTGTTTATGTTATAGGTTAGACTTTCAGTCTAACAATAGGCTATTAGTAGTTGTTTCAGGGGAGTCAAAAGTGATACATGGATTTTCGACTGCATGGGGATCGGCGCCCTAACCTCTGCGCTGTTTGAGGGTCAACTGTATTTTTTTCCATGTGCCTCTCTCTTGCCACTAGAGGGTGCACTCCCAGAAGGCAGGGACCCTGGGTTACTCTGCACATTTCTACCTTTTGCCGCTAGAGGGTGCACTCCCAGAAAGCAGGGACCTTGGGTTACTCTGCACAAGTCCGCCTTTTATGGAGCATACACTCAGTAAGTATTTGCTGAATAAAGGAATGTGCCCATTCTCTGGATTCATCCTTGTCCTGGGTCATTCTGTCCATGACTCCTGTGAAGTCTGGGAGCACATGCACAGGTGACAGGAAGCTGAAAGGACAGCTTCCTGACTTGGGTGTCCCGTAAGGATTGAGGCAGAACACAGCTGGTTGCTTCAAGGTGTTTAATCCAATGAGATGAACATTTAGAGGGAGAGTATAGGTCTCTCACCCAGATGCCCCAAACCGCTGCATAAGCACAGATTGGGGGTGATGGGGCTTGGCTGCAGCACAGGAGAAAGCACCTGGAGTTTGAATGAATCCTGGAATCACTGACCCACAAGTTGTTGGGCCCTGTTAATGGGATTATGACGTTCAGAAAGAAAGAAAGGAGACAAGGAAGGAAGGGAAAGAGGAAGGGAGAGAAGGAGGGGAGAAGAAGCAGGCAGCAGACTTCCTCCAGTGCTGCCAACATAATTGGATCTTGGGGATGTTGTCCCAGAAGGATAAAAAGTTTCTAAACTGAGTTCAACTCACTTTCCAAACTTTAAATGACTTCAGGGACTACAGTGGTCCCAAAGAATAAACTGCAATTTAAATGATCTTCTAAGAGTGATGGCCAGTCCTTTGGAGATTGTGCCCCAAATACATGAAGCAGGAGGAGCCAAAAGGACCTTTCACCTCTCACACGTCATGAGCCCTTACCCTGGCGTTCACACCCAGGACCCAGTGTCGCTGTTTCTGACATGTAGCCCTTGGGAAACTGATCATTTTTGCTCATTTTGGTTTTTTTTATATATATATAAAGGTAAGTTCACGTTTTGGTGAAAGATATTTCACAATTTTCATTACCATGGCTATTTTTAAAAATTTCTTATTGATACATAATATATATACATAGTTTTAAAGTACATGTGATAATTTAATCCATTCATATAATTTGTAAGGATCAAGTCAGTGTAGTTGGGATATCCGTCACTTTAAACATTTGTCTTTATGCTAGAAATATCTGAATTATTCTCTTCTAGCTATCTTGAAACTTACAGCAGCTTATTGTAAACTATAGTCACCCTCCTGATCTATCGAACACTAGGTCTTATTCCTTTGATCAAACCATGTATTTTCACCCATTAATCAACAGCATGATTACCTTTCTATCATCAGACTTGACTGTAATGGAATGGGGGCTAGAGGAGGGGTGATGTGAAGCCATTTTATTGGTATGATATTTTTCTCACAAAATCAAACTGACCCCCTCAACCTGCAAGAGTGTCTAAGATCATCTGGCCTCACCCTGTCATCATGCTGAGGAAATGGGAGCTTGCCAGGGACCACACAGCCAGTAGTCTTCTCACACTCAGCTGTCCTTTCTTTTTCTTCTTTTTTTGAGACAAAGTTTCACTCTTAGTTGCCCAGGCTGGAGTGCAGTGGCACAATCTTGGCTCACTGCAATCTCTACCTCCTGGGTTCAAGCGATTCTCCTGTCTCTGGTTGTCCTTTCTTGATTAAAACTGTTGGGCTCTTTCTCAATTTATAGTTAGACACAAAGTCTGACAATAATAAGCATGTTTCTGGATCTGATGATGATGACATAAAGGGAATATTTTCTTCATATGATCTGATGCAAGTTCTTGAGAGTTGGTTGGCCATCCTACAGTGAGAAACCCGGCTGGGGACTGATGCACTGCCCAGCATACACATCATAGCAGCAGTATGTCTTGGGCACCTCAACCATCCTCAAGCTTGGGGATCATTCTTAGTGTCAGCCTTTGTAGTGAGTTCCTGAATGATACATTTGCCTCTAAGAAATTTTTTAAGACCTTAAGAAAAAAAGAGAGATTGATTATTCTTTCTTTTCATGCTGAAGCCATGCTATTTCTGGATATTTGGTCAGTTGTGTGGAAGAGAGATTAACTGCCTTTAGGGCCTTCAGAAGACAAGGCCAGGTCGAAGTTGCAGGGAGGCAGATTTCAGCTCAGTATCACTGGGTAACTACTTCAAAGTGAAGTGAGCATTATGAGGAGATAAAGAACCTAGGCCAGGCGCGGTGGCTCACGCCTATAATCCCAGCACTTTGGGAGGCCGAGGCGGGTGGATCACAAGGTCAAGAAATCGAGACCATCCTGGTCAACAAGGTGAAACCCCAACTCTACTAAAAATACAAAAAAAATTAGCTGGGCATGGTGGTGCGCACCCGTAGTCCCAGCTACTCGGGAGGCTGAGGCAGGAGAATTGCTTGAACCCAGAAGGCAGAGGTTGCGGTGAGCCGAGATCGTGCCATTGCACTCCAGTCTGGGTAACAACAGCAAAACTCCATCTCAAAAACAAAACAAAACAAAACAAAAAAAAAACCTCACATCTCTCAGATAGTCAAATCTATATCCTGGGACTATCAGGAATGTGATAAGCAGCTTTCTGCATTGGAAAGGGAACAGTTGCTAAATAGACTCTAAGACCTGTTGTCCTTAGCATTCAAGTAATTGTTATTGATGATGATGATATTGAAGTTACTTGTTTGCCTGACTATTTCCCCTCTAGATTTTGAGCTCTTTGTTCCCAGCACCTAGAATTATGCCTGGCCCAAAGCAGATGCTCATAAATATCTATTAACGTGACCTGAATTATTATGGCGCTGACTTAGTCACAGCTATAATGTGCTAACCACCAACACAGGAGTATCTCAGAGCTCATCAGTCAGGAAACATTTCTGCAACAACAGAGGAGGGGGTTGGATTACTGAGAGCCTTAGAGAGATGGGCATTTGGGAGGTTCATAAGTGTTTTAGATACAGTGCTAATAAAACTGTACTGCTCAGTTGCCAGCAAGTTTTTTTACTGGTCCAGAACAAATTGCAGTTTGAGGAACATTTCAAAGTCTGAGGAGTGTTAAGGAAACAATGATCAATACTTGTGAATAGTATCGTTACTTGTTAAAGCATGACAAAGCAGACTTTATTCAGGATTATCTCAGCAGATATAGGGACCACTGCCATGGGATTTTGCAGTGAGAGAGAGAAACTGGGCTCAACTCCAAATACAGCAGGAACAAGTGGGAATTTTTAGCCAAGGAGGGGGTGGAGGTCGGTGGATAGGAAATTATTAAGAAGAAACATCGGGGGTCAAGAGGATTCTGACTAAACGGACCTAACAGAATTCTTGCTGAAGAGGAGACAAGGTGACAGGGTGATCAGACATTACCTGGGGATAATAGAGGATGAGGAACCTCATCAAATATTGAGTATGATCAAATATTGAGGAGGGAGGTTCTTGCTAAACTGACTTAGCAGGGCTTTTTGCTGAAACTGAATTTTATAAGCAAATATACAGATGGGCCAAGGAGAAGGTTCAGGTCCCTGACTAAAGTTTAGAAAACTTGAGAATCTTTGTCAGGAGAGATTTAACCTTTCCATTAAAAAAAAAAAAAGCAGCCTTAGGGTTCTGTGAGCAGTCTCAGGAACAAGTTAATGCCTTTGCTGCAGGCAATGAAGAATGAAGAGAAGAGGGGAGACTCAGTTCGAACTCTCATTCAACTTGGCCATGGGGCACAGGGGCCTACTCGCTGCCGCAGATGTACAAAAGGATCAACCAAATGTCGAGATCTTGACACTGGAGGAGTCTAGGAGGCCAGGGCTTGTTCTCTAGGGGCTGCCACAGGCCCGAAAAGATGCTTTATTTTCCGTTGTTGCTTTTTTCTGTTAGTTTTCATTTATTTTCTTGTCTCCTTGTGTGCCTTATTTTTTTTTTTTTTTTTTTTTTTAGTGTGTGCCAGATGTTGTGTTTGCAAAATAATTTGTAGAACAGATTTAGAGATGGGTGATGTTACCTTCCTCTGAGTGGATCTATGTTTGTTTCTGTGAGACATTTGGGAAAACTCTAGTATCATCTCAATTCAATTTCAGGGCTTGAGAAGAGGTGAAGCTGAACTACAGCATCTGTAAATGCCTGTTTCCTTCTGATTGCCCTTATTCCTATGGTGCTGCCCTTCGAGAGTCCATCCCAAATGGAGAACGTTTAGTGAGGGCCTTTCTTTTTTTTGCTTTTTTTTTTTTTTTTTGAGATGGAGTTTTTGCTCTTGCCACCCAGGCTAGAGTACAATGGTGCAATCTTGCCTCACTGCAACCTCCACCTCCTGGGTTCAAGCAATTCTCCTGCCTCAGCCTCCCGAGTAGCTGGGATTATATTGTTATATTTTTAGTAGAAACAGGGTTTCCCCATGTTGGTCAGGCTGGTCTTGAACTCCTGACCTCAGGTGATCCACCTGCCTTGACCTCCCAAAGTGCTGGGATTTCAGGCGTGAGCCACTGCGCCCAGCCAAGGGGCCTTTTGAGGTGAGTTTTTCACATCAAAACCTACTCCTCATCTCCATGAGGCTGTCAGTAATGCTTTACAGCCTTTCCATGGCTCCCTCCAGAAGCTGCAAATGCTTGAGTTGAATTACAGCCACAAGTGCTGGACTTACATCTCTAGATCCTTGCTTTTCCCCAGAATCATAACCCTACATTCCTCATTGTATTATAACTTCTCCAATACAAAGATGTTTTATATATATTTTCCAGTTTGTCTAATTGTCATCTGCAAGACAGTTAGTCCAAATTAGCCTGTTTGTTCTTACCAGAAGCAGAAGTTAAATATTGATCTCTCTACATTGTTGCTAGAACTCCACAGAGATGAAGAAATCATCAGTGCGATTCCCCAGTTGCTCGGCAGGGCAAGGATTTGTGCCTGGCCTTCCAGGTGCTTTTGGAGTAAGAAAATGCTGAGGTTGACCTCTGAGTTCCTCCAGGTGACAGAGAAGATGCACCATGAACAGGTCCAGTGAGACCTCCCCTGCGATGGGGTTCATCCTCCTGGGCCTCTCTGCCCACCCAGAGCTGGCGAAGACATTCTTCGTGCTCATCCTGCTGATGTACCTGGTGATCCTGCTGGGCAACGGGGTCCTCATCCTGGTGACTGTCCTTGACTCCCGCCTGCACACGCCCATGTACTTCTTCCTGGGGAACCTCTCCTTCCTGGACATCTGCTACACGACCTCCTCAGTCCCCCTCATCCTTGACAGCTTCTTGACCCCCAGAAAAACCATCTCCTTCTCAGCCTGTGCAGTGCAGATGTTCCTCTCCTTTGCCATGGGGGCCACAGAGTGTGTGCTCCTGAGCATGATGGCGTTTGATCGCTACGTGGCCATCTGCAACCCCCTTAGGTACCCTGTGGTCATGAGCAAGGCTGCCTACGTGCCCATGGCTGCCAGCTCCTGGGCAGCTGGTATCACCAACTCTGTGGTACAGACATCCCTAGCAATGCGACTGCCCTTCTGTGGGGACAGTGTCATCAATCACTTCACCTGTGAGATCCTGGCAGTTCTAAAGTTGGCCTGTGCTGACATCTCCGTCAACGTGATCAGCATGGTTGTGGCCAACATGATCTTCCTTGCACTCCCAGTCCTGTTTATTTTTGTCTCCTATGTCTTCATCATTGCTACCATCCTGAGGATGCCCTCAGCGGAGGGGAGGAGAAAGGCCTTCTCTACCTGCTCTGCCCACCTCACAGTCGTGGTTATCTTCTATGGGACCATCCTCTTCATGTATGGGAAGCCCAAGTCTAAGGACCCGCTGGGGACAGACAAGCAGGACGTTGCAGACAGACTCATCTCCCTCTTCTATGGGGTGGTGACCCCCATGCTCAACCCGATCATCTACAGCCTGAGGAACAAGGACGTGAAGGCTGCTGTGAGGAACCTGGTAGCTCAAAAACACCTACCAGAGTGACTGTCACAGATTCCCAGACTGCTCAAATGCATACCCTCCAAATGCCTCATTGTTCTCTTGGGGAAATGGTAACCAGGTAGGACCTTAGACTGTCAGTGGAAAGAGAGCCCTAAAATTTCTGAGGCTCCTGGTCAATTTGTTGGCCATACAGAACCATACTGTATCATATAGTAGCTATATTATACTGACTAAATCTTAAATTCCTTGATACCAGAATTTGATGAATATCCATGAGAGTTATAGAGGTGGTCAAAAGAGACAAACCAACAAAAAATCTAGTGGCACTGGGATCTCAGAGGATATAGGATATGGTTTGGCTCTGTGTCCCTGCCCAAATCTGTCGAATTGAAATCCCCAGTGTTGGAGGAGGGGCCTGGTAAGAGGTGATTGGATCATGAGGGCAGATTTCCCCCTTGCTGTTCTCATGATAGTGAGTCAGCTCCCATGAGATCTGGTTGTTTAAAAGTGTGTAGCACCTCCCACTTTACCCTCTTCCTCCTACTCCAGCCATGTAGGACATGCCTGCTTCCCCTTCCCCTTCCGCTGTGATTATAAGTTTCCTGAGGCCTCTCTAGCCATGCTTCCTGTACAACCAGAGCAACCACAAACCAATTAAACCTCTTTTCTTTATAAATTACCCAGTTTCAGGTATTTCTTTATATCATTGCAAGAATGGGTGTGGTGGCTCATGCCTGTAATCCCAGCACTTTGGGAGGCCGAGGCGGGCGGATCACGAGGTCAGGAGATGGAGACCATCCTGGCCAATGTTATGAAACCCCATCTCTACTAAAAATACAAAAAAGTAGCTGGGCATGGAGGCACGTGCCTGCAGTTCCAGCTACTTGGGAGGCTGAGGCAAGGGAATAGCTTGAACCCAGGCAGAGGAGGTTGCAGTGAGCCAAGATTGCGCCACTGCACTCCAGCTGGGCAACAGAGCAAAACTCCATTTCAAAAAAAAAAAAAAGAATGGACTAATACAATGTTGTTTTGTCCTGTATAAAACTGCCACTTACTCTACTCTGATTTGATGTCACCCCAGAGATCTTTACTGTTTCTCATGTAGGGATCAACTGGGAAATGTCATCTGCCCCCACATGTAATAGTGAGCATTAGCACTATGGCAGGAATTCTTCTCACATCTTAGCCCCAGAAATAGTGAGACCTGAGCAGCTGCTTTGTTTTGATCTCATGGACACTAAGAATCTTGCTTTTCACAACATTCATCTATTTATTGTCACTGCAAGGAAATTCAGAGGCAAACCTGCCACCCCACTGCAGCAATAACTGAGTACTGTACGACTGGGTGCCAGTAGCTTCCTAACTTTCGTCCATGCAACCAACATGACACATGGCAGTTACACACAGAACGCATTCCATGAGTATGTCCACATTGTTCTAGAACACCAAAAAGACTGTGGGGAACCAAATGCAAAAATAATTCTCAATTCTACAACTAACAACAGGCCAGCAATAACAGTCATCACCGACCATCTGCAACACTGGTGAGATTGGCCATGTGTCTTTTTGCAGCCAAAAGAGCTCTAAGTCCATGACTTCCTCCTACACTCAAGGAATAGACTGAGATAGGTGTGAAACTTAAGGTATTGTAGTGACTGTTTTCAGTCCACTTTATATTTGTAAATGTCAGTGTCTTCATCCATTTTTACTGCTATAATAATATACCTGAAACTGGGTAATATATAAATACGAATTTATTTCTCACAGTTCTAGAGGCTGGGAAGTCCAAGATCAAGGCACCAGCATGTTTGATGTCTGGTGACAGTCCAGTCTCTGCTTCCAAGATGATACCTTGAACACTGTGTGCTCACATGGCAGAAGGGATGAAAAAGCAAAACAAGGGCTAGCTAGTTCCCTCAAGCCCTTTTATAAGGTTACTAATCCCATTCATGAGGTTGTGCCTTTTAATACTATCAATTGGCAATTAAGTTTCAAGATGTGAATTTAGGGGAGCCATTCAGACCATGGCAGTCAGTGATTATGGAACTTTGGTCCTTTAACCATGCCAGTACGTGCCAGCTTGTCTTCTTTTCTTTTCTTTTTTTTTCTTCCTCATTCCCATGTGAAATAAGACTCAGGTCTTTACTCTAAATGCATTTTTATTGGTGGGAGTGCAATGAGGACATAGAGAGGGTGGCCTAGATAATTAAAACAGCTGGAATTCGCCAGTTCCTTTACTTTTTAAAAAGCCTAAGACTATTAAAGAGACACATTTAGGTGTCCAGAAAGGGGAGAAGAAAGAGCAGATGTGAAAACAGGAAGGAGGAGAGATTCTGCCCAGAGGCAGGAGAGAGGTGGAGGTCGTCAGATCCCACTCTAGGCAGGACTCACCCCTACTGCAAATGTGCGAACCAGCTATTATGTATGTCTATACCAGTTACACATTTGGGAACCTGGAGAATGACTACCAGTGACTAGTTCCATAAAAAACCATTTGTCCTATCAGGAAATAAACGTGAGCCTAGACCCCATTTATCACTCAATTTCCATTTACTCCCACAGTAGAAGGGATCTGTGATGCTCCTTTGGGTTTCTTGGTATTAGCGTCAGTTAAGATTCTATAACATACAGCCCTTAAAATATTGGGGTATTTCATTTTCCCCAGTATTTAGCTACTCAGGGAAATAGCCACAAGTCCCTGGAGGGAGACACAGACAGAGAAAATCACTACTATATACATGCAAGGGCATTGCAGGATTCTTCCTCAGAGACCAGCCTCTTCTTCAATTGATGTATTTTGGATCTGAGAATTAATTCAGGTCTGGAATTGAGTGAGTGATCATAATTTTTCAACAGGAAAGCCATTGTCAGGCTTCTGCTCATCTATGCTTGATTTTGTTTTAATTACATACATTTACAACCTTCTAAAGTGCCTGTCCTGCTCCCAGGAACATCACAGGATGTTCCTTAATACTCATTCCCATGCATTCCTGCGGGTCAGGCCCTCCTGTCGCTATTCTGATCTTGCTGTCTATTACAAGTAATTAATATTCTTGCCCCTAATAGTTAAGTGCTGCCATTGGGCCGCCACTATTCTGGGAATTTATAATCTCCACTGACACTAGGGACCCTGCTTCTAAAACAGCACCTTGTACAGTCACCCTCAGCTGACAGAGAATAAACACTGCCAAGTTTCTCAAAAATGTTCCTCATTAATGCATTTTCTTATTAGCTTAGTGAAGAGAGTGTCCTCTAGCCTTCCTAGGGGACATATCCATCTGTAGGTCTAATTTAACAAGCCCATTTAGCATCCTAAATTCTTTGAGTCTTTTGGCTCCTTCGTCTACACTCTGCCAAGGCAGTTCGATGTTTCCAGGAGCCATCCCAACCGTCCCGAGGGATCTCTTGGTTGCCAGACACCCTCTCTAAAGTAGTAGCCAGCAGAGCAGCAGCATATTCCTCTGTGGGGGCTGTGATGACCTGATGAATTTTAAAGAAGTCCCTTTCAAGGCACAATTTAAAAGAATTGTGATTCCTGGCATAGACCCACTCTCATCTTCTTAGAAATAGCATAGATTCAATACGAATTTAGACCCAAAAAATAGAGAGGCCTTATTTCACAAGATGAGACATTTCTGTGATTCTGATACCAAATAATGTAAACTCTAGTTCCAGACATAATCAGAAGGAAATAATACCAATGTTGTTTGTACAAAAGTGAGTGGGCACCTTTTATGCATAATGATAGGTCTGAAATGCTGGGGCATGTCTGAAAACAGAAGGGAATAAAGGCAGCCAATGATTATGTAAGTGGAGCAACTGACCATTTGAGCAATTGAATATAATTGGAAGCAATTGGCATGGGTCAGGATAGGAAACAGCGGGGTGGGGGTGGGGGTGTCAGGAGAGAAATGGAGTTCTTGGCTGGGCAAGGTGGCTCACACCTGTAATCCCAGCACTTTGGGAGGGTGAGGCAAGAGGATCTCTTCAAGCCAAGAGTTTGAGACCAGCATGGACAACAGAGGGAGACCCCCTGTTCCATCTTTACAAAAACATTTTTTAAAGTTAGCCAGGTGTAGTGGTGCACACCTATAGTCCCAGCTACTCGGGACTGAGGCAGAAGGATCACTTGAGCCCAGAAGTTCAAGACTGTGATGAGCTGATTGTGCCACTGCATTCCAGACTGGTCAACAGAGCCAGACCACAGAAAGAAAAGTGCAGGTTTCATGGCTCTCCTCATCCCCAAAATATTTACCTCTGGAAAAATAATGGTTAGGATTACCCAAGTATACATAAATTCTAAACTAATGTATCCTACTTACGTAGAGCTCTTCTTTGCACAGGGTGCTGGAAGAAAGCTGGCTTACAATTTTTGAACTTCACAATGGTGCAGAAGTGATACACATTCAGTAGAAACGGTACTTGGAGTACCCAGACAACCATTTTTTTCACTTTCAGTATAGTGGTCAATAAATTACATGAGATATTCAATACTTTCACATAAAATAGACTGTGCTAGATGCTTTTGCCCACTGCAGACTGCTGTAAGTGTTTGGAGCACATTTAAGGTAGGCCTGGTTAAGCTGTGATGTTTGGCAAGTTAAGGGTATTAAATGCATTTTAAACTTAAAACATTTTCCATTTACGACATTGCCCCATTGTAAGTCAAGGGGCTTTTGTATTCCAGCTGAGCCTGGAGGGGCATGATCAAGGGAGTAGTAGGGCCTGTATGCTTTGCATAGGAATTGGCCTGGTTAATTCCTAAGGCCCCTTCCGAGCTTGGGCCTACCACGGTCTATGAGCATAACAAAAGCCAGAATTGAAGAATGGCCAGTATGGTGGTGTGTTTTAGGAAACTGACTAACCAGAGGACATCCATCCCATGACTGTTTCCGTGACTATTTTGCATCATCACTGAAAGAAAAACATTGGCAAACATTCCAAACACGAATACTTCCAAATCAAATTAATTAGGCTTTGTGATCCCAAAATAGAAGTATTCCTCATCTTCATTCTTACAACAAGAGAATGAAGGTTTGATTCATGATTAAATTTGTGGAATAAACCAAATGGCTTCCTTCCTAGGACAGAAGAGAAGCTGCTCAAGAGGAATCAAGACATCCAGCCCTGGGTCAGAGAGGAATCTGACTTTGAAGATGTGTGGCCCAGAAAGAGTCCCTACAGATCCTGACCTGTGTGTGGAAGATGTCAAGGGTAGATGAACATTCATTCAGTCTTTTAGCCTGGCCTTTACATTTAAAAGCAGAGAGAATAACAGAGTAGCTGTAGGGCTGGGCCTCAGATCCAACTTAAAGGCTTACCAGTGGATTAAGAATATCTGCCTCCATTCCTTATACACATGTTTTGGATTTTATTGTACTTTCTCTTCATCTGAGAACAAGCTGATAGCTCTTTCCTTCTGAGGATGTTGTGAGAATGACAATAGATAAGGTGCCTACTACATAATTTTTATTTTTTTATTTTTTGAGACAAGGTCTTGCTCTCTAACCCATTCTGGGTTAGAACCCACACTGGGTACAGTGGTGTGATAATGGCTCAGTGCATCCTCAACCTCCTGAGCTCAAGCAACCCTCCCACCTCAGCCTTCTGAATTGCTGTGGAACTGGCAAAAGGATCTGGTTGCTTGCTGCTTGTGGAAAGAAGTCAAAATAATAACACGTTATGATAAGGATGAGCAGTAATCTTTTATTATCCATGCCAACAAGGGGAAGTATAGACGACAATTCCACTCTTCAATTTGTTGGGGGAGTGCAGGGGTTTTTAAAGAAAGCATTTTAGGGGCCAGGCACAGTGGCTCATGCCTATAATACAGCACTTTGGGAAGCCGAGGAGGGTGGATCATGAGGTCAGGAGTTCAAGACCAGCCTGGCCAAGATGGTGAAACTCCATCTCTACTAAAATACAAAAATTAGCCGGGTATGGTGGTGGGCACCTGTAATCCCAGCTACTCAGGAGGCTAAGGCAGGGAATTGCTTGAACCTGTAATCCCTACTCAGGAGGCTAAGGCAGGGAATTGCTTGAACCTGTAATCCCAGCTACTCAGGAGGCTGAGGCAGGGAATTGGTCAGGAGGCAGAGGTTGCAGTGAGCCAAGATTGTTCCACTACACTCCAGCCTGGGTGACAGAGCGATACTCTATCTCCAAAAAAAAGAAAAAAGAAAAAGAAAGCATTTTGGAATGTGAAAGAGGTGGGGGGGGGGGGGCGGTCTAGGAGGTGCCAGGTGCTGTGACTTACTCCGATGGCTCATCTTGAATTACTGTTCCATCTGGTGAAGGGGCAGGTGCCATTGTGGATCCTACTAGGTTATAAATTAAATTAATCACAGTCAATCTTGTGGTCACTCTTCGGCTGAGAGTGGGTTCCAGCCCTGAGGTAACCTTTTGTTGGAGAGAGAATTCTGAAGGTGTCTGGTTCCTATCGGGATCTAACCCCTGAAGCTTCAAAGGAAACATATGACCAGATACGTGAGCGTAGTGTGTGCATAACAAGCATCTAGGTAAATAAATGTGCGTAAGGCATGGGAGGACAGAATGGGAAAAGAAAGGGAGTGAAGATTCACAGCCCGTTCCGAGGCTGTATTTCAAGATGAAAGGTAACACATGCACAGTTCGTCTCAAAGTTATATCTTGCGACTGGGGATGGGAGGAGGAGAAAAGAGGAAAGAAAAAAGAGTTTTAAAATGCAGTTTGAAGCTTAGCTGCTAAGCTGCTTGATTATAGCTGGGACTATAGATGCATGCCACCAAACACAGCTAATTAAAAAAATTTTTTTTGTAGAGATAGGGTCTCGCTGTGCTGCCCAAGCTGGTTTTGAACTCCTGAGCTCAAGCAATCCACCTGCCTCAGCCTCCCAAAGTGCCAGGATTATAGAGGTGAGTCACCGTGTCTGGCCTCCTGGTGGAAAATTTGTACTCAATAGGTAATAGCTCCTATCACTGCTTCAACAGCTGCTGTTGTTGCTGTTATAGCCCTTGCACTGATTTCTTTTTTTTTTAATTATTATTATTATTTTTGGTAGAGATGGGGTTTCTCCATGTTGGTCAGGCTGGTCTTGAACTCCCAACCTCAGGTGATCCTCCTGCCTCGGCCCCAAAGTGCTGGGATTACAGGCGTGAGCCACCATGCCCAGCCTCCTTGCACTGATTTCTTAGCATGTCTGTCTTCTTCTAAATATGGAGTTCTTTAAGTAGAAACTTTGATTTTCTTCTCTGAGTCCCCAGCACTGAGAATCATGCCTGGCACAGAAGGTGTGCTCAGTAGCCATCTGTTGACTTGAGCCAAATGGCCACGGCACAGACACTGTGTGCTCGCGCAAGGGCAGGAGAGTCTCAGCGCTCCTTGCAGGAAGTGCTCGCGTAGCAACCTGGGAAGGGGTCAGATCACAAAGCAGAGCTCAGAGGAGATGGATTTCTAGAGAGTTTGTACGGTTTTTAGGCACAGGGTAAAGCCAACTGCAAAACCCCTAGATTGTCAACAAGCTTATGATGATGACCCAGGACAAATCGCATGTGAGCACCTTGAAGCCCAAAGAGAGATCTTAAATTCCTTGAAAAAACAAGGGAAATCTCAGGACCAGCCTCAGAAGCAAGTCAGTGTCTTTCGTGAGAGCTGATGGGGAATGGGGAGGAAGGAGGTTCAGAGAACTGACGTTCAACTTGGCCAAAACGTGCAGGAAGCCCCTTGCTGTGCAGTCATAGAGGCTGGCTGGTGAAATGAAATTTACTTAAAGGTCAGTAAAAGTTCAAGATCTTGGTTCTAGAGTTACAGGGTATCTGGGACTGATTCCTGGCTGGTGTCACCAGAGCAGAGGAGTTCTTGGCCCTTCTGCCCTAAGAGAAGGGAAGAGGCTAAACATAATCAGTCGCCTGCTCCTCTATGCAGACAAAAATCATCAACCACTTGACCTGTGAGGTCCTGGCTATCCTGAAGTTGCCCTGTGCTGATATCTCTATCAATGTGATCAGGTAAAAGGCCTTCTCGACCTGCTCTGCCCACCTCACAGTCTTGATCGTCTTCCACGGGACCATCCTCTTCACATATGGAAAGCCCAAGTCTATGGATCCACTGAGAGAAGACAAGCACGATTTTGCAGACAAACTTATCTCCATTTCCTACAGAGTGGTGACCCCCATGCTGAACGCCATCATCTACATACAGCCTGAGGAACAAGCACAGGAAGGCTGCTGTGAGAAATCTGGTATTTCAGAAACCCCTAACTGAGTGAGTGACTGACTGTCAGAATCCTAGGTGGCCAGAACATATGCTCTCTAAGCACCTCACTGTGCTCATGGGGAAATGATAACTCAGAGGAAGGAAAGTTCTTTCCCAAGGTCCAGGCCATGAACCATGGGACTAGAATGAACAAGTAAACCAAGTGTCCCCTGTTGTGTCACAGGTCATGGAAGCGTCCATCGAAGAACCTAGAAGGAAAGTGCCTCCACATTTCTACTTTTAATTTCCCGTTGCCCCATTTCCTCACCTATCTATTTTTAGTTTTTTGGCCTTGAATATATTTTTGGGTTACCACAAATCCTTTATGAAAGTCAGCATAATTGGAACCAAAGAAACAAAGCAATGAAGAAGCAAACAAAAAACCCAAATGAACTAATGACAAGACATGGCCCTGGGTGGGGCAGTGGGCTGTCATCGGAGCCCCTCTGTGGCCCTCAGCTGTCTCTCTCCCCTGCTGGAAGCTAGTTTTAGGCTGCATGGCTTTGAGGTCCTTTCAAAGCTGACCTTCCAAGGCAGTGATTCTGGCCACAGGACTCTGAGTATTGTAGTGTATGATGCCGTTCTTGCACTGCTATAAAGAAATACTTGAGACTGGATAATTTATAAAGAAAAGAGGTTTAATTGGCTCATGGTTCTGCAGGCTATACAAGCACAGCTCCAGCATCTGCTTGGCTTCTGGGGAGGCCTCAGGGAGCTTTTACTTATGGCAGAAGGTGAAGTGGGAGTAGGCATTTCACATGGGCAAAGCAGGAATGAGACAAAGAAAGAGAGAGAGAGAGCAGGCAGGAAGTGCCATGCTTTACAACAACTGAATCTTGGGAGAACTCACATCACAAGACAGCACCAAGCCATGAGGGATCTGCCCCGTAATCCAGACTCCTCCCACCAGGCCCTAGCTCCAGCACTGGGGATTACAATTCAGCATGAGATTTGGGTGATATCCAAACTATATCATGTGGAAAGACCATTGGCCATCCAAACTGAATTATTATAACAGCAGCTTCTAGCACGCCCAGAGAAAACAAGATAGCTGTTCAAAGAGCAACCAAGGGGAGGGAGTGGAGAGGCAGCCACTCAGGTCAGCATAGATCATAGAGGACTCTCAGCCCAGGCCACGCAGCCTGGCACCTGCCTTCCAGTTCCAGTCCTAACACTATTTCCCACTGCTGAGCCCTTGGCTAAGTCTCTTTGCCTCTTTGGGCCTTGATTTCTTTGTCTGTAAAATGAGAGGATATAGACCATCCTTCTCACTAGATAATACAACTAGGGAATGCCCAGAGAGGAGAGGCTCACATCCCACCACCCACCACTCTTTGATTAGGGGTCTCCTTCTCCATTCTGGGGTTGCTCCTCCATTCATTCCCTCCACAGTTCATGAGCAATTGTTCCAACTGCCAGTGCCACTTACAGACTTGGGTGGCCCATTGCAGCTCTAGCTACCTGTGCCTGCTGCAAACCTGCCACCTGGTGGACATTTCTGAAGCTGGCCATTGAAATTTCTGCCAGCTCCTGAGATGGGTGCTTCTCAAACTTTAATGTGCTCGTGAGTCATCTGAAAATGTGGACAAGGATTCAGTGAGTCTGAGGTAGGGTCTGAGATTCTACATCTCTAACAGATTTCCAGGTAATGCCTATGCTGCTGAACTCTGCAGGTCACACTTTGAGGAGCAAGGCCCTAGAAGATTTGGGACCAGGGCAGAGGGGCTGAAGGAAGAGGCCGGGTAGGGACATTTCCTCCCACAGGCCTCCTGTTGTACGCCAAGCCCTTGGGCATCAGCAACACTGCGAGGTGTTTGCCAGCCTGGCAAATTCCCTCATAGTAAAAGCCTAAAATGTCAATGCTTTTAAGTCTCTGGGTTGCAGATCTCACTTTGTTTTTGGCCTTTGAGTATCCCTTAGTTTCTGGAAAGTTCAATAGGTCAAGGCTATTGAATAGAAAGATGTAGAACAAGTGGAAACATTAGCCATATCTTCAGGGGTTCTTTTTATCAGCAGAGTCAAGGCAGGCCCCAGCCAGTTGGGTGTTGATGTTTCTGGAGCAACTGGATATTCATATAGGGAAAAAGAAAAAAGGAGCCTTGACCTATACTTCACACCATTCACAAAACTTTATTTGAAATCAATCGTAGACCTAAATGCTTAAGCTAGAACTATAGACAGTCTAGAAGAAAACATACCATCATGCCTGGCATGCATGTCTATATATATATATATATATATATATATATATATATATATTTTTTTTTTTTTTTTTTTTTTTTTTTTTTTTTGAGACGGAGTTTCGCTCTTGTTACCCAGGCTGGAGTGCAATGGCACGATCTCGGCTCACCGCTACCTCCGCCTCCTGGGTTCAGGCAATTCTCCTGCCTCAGCCTCCCGAGTAGCTGGGATTACAGGCACGCGCCACCATGCCCAGCTAATTTTTCGTATTTTTAGTAGAGACGGGGTTTCACCATGTTGACCAGGATGGTCTCGATCTGTTGACCTCGTGATCCACCCGCCTAGGCCTCCCAAAGTGCTGGGATTACAGGCTTGAGCCACCGCACCCGGCCAATATATATATATTTATATAGACATAGAGGTCTTGCTATATTGCCCAGGCTGGTCTCAAACTCCTGGCCTCAAGCAATCCCCTCTCCTGGGCCTTCCACAGTATTGGAATTACAGGTGTGAACCACCGCCCCCAGCCAAGACTAGTATTAAAGTATAAAGGAAAGCAGAGGGATTGGCCAGGGATTTGAGGAAAAAAATACAATAAAAGTGATCTGATTCCTAAAGTAGAAGCTCTCAAATTGGAACAAACAAAAGAACTTCTTTAATATTGAAGTACTGAAATGCGAGATTATAAAATTCACATAAGACAAAAGTATGCCAGATTGCAGGGTCTTTATTGCCGGCGTCTCTCCAACCCGTGGCCCCGAATGGAGGGTGACAAGACTCTTTTATACCCGTTCTGGGGGTGGAGGTGAAGGGATTCAGACATTCTGAGGGCCAGGGGATTCCGTAAATCACCTCCCGGGCAGAGAGGAGGGAGCGGGTCTCTGGATATTCCAAGGACTAGGGGACTTACTGTTACCTAAGTGGTTTACAGAAGTCAAGATAAGCGTTAGTTTACACATTGTCTGGGCAGTAGTAGAATCCACATACCTCAGTTACTTATTACAAGTCGCAGGGGCCAGGATGGCATTAGCTTGGGCTGCTTCTTCTGGTCATTACTGGTAAGCAAAGGCCAGCAATTCTGGCAGTTACTGATAAGAAAAGGTAAGCAGCTTTACATAGTGAGCACTTTGCAGAGCAAACTAGCAGTTTTATTTACAGAAGCCAAGGCCAATAGTTATTGTGAGGAGAATGGGGCAGCCATTACAACTTATTTCTGAAAAACAGCTTTGTTTTGTATAAAATGGCGTTGCTCAGGTTCCAGCTATAGCACAATATGACCAGGCATGGTGGCTCACGCCTGTAATCCCAGCACTTTGGGAGGCCGAGGAGGGCAGATCACTTAAGGTCAGGAGTTCAAGACCAGCCTGGCCAACGTAGTAAAACCCCATCTCTACTAAAAAAAAAAAAAAAAAAAAAAAAAAAAATTAGCCGAGACGGGTGGTATATGCCTGCAATCCTAGCTACTCAGGAGGCTGAGGCAGAAGAATTGCTTGAACTCAAGAGGCGGAGGTTGTAGTGAGCAGAAATCATGCCACTGCACTCCAGCCTGTGTGACAGAGCAAGACTTTGTCTCAAAAACAAACAAAAAACTTCTTCTTCTTTTTAAACTATTACACAATTATGCTAATATTTTATTAATTCAAAAGCACTTTACAAGAAAATATAAGTATGGCTTCCAATAGGAATGTTATACCTGGACTTTATACCAAGCTCACAGATTTGAGTTTGCAAGGAAAAACAGGCTTTCAAGTTAAACAACAATTTGTAACCGAAACTTTAATCCCAAGGATTCTCACAAAACATATTACAAATGACAGCATGAAAAAAAATCTTGCACTGTAACTCAAAGTTCGGCTCTACAATGTACCCTTAAACTGGCAGGTCATTTCTGAAATCTCAAATTTGCACATAATGTCATGAACAGCCATGTATTCATATATAGCAATCAAATAAGGAACTTATGACCTAAAGCAAAGATAAACTTTCTTGAAACTTAAGATTCTATACCAACTAGGCAACCTCTGCCCAGGATAAACATGAGTTGGCTTTTTCAAAAACCTCTAATTTAATAGTGCAGCGTTTTTTACCCAATGGCTTGTGTTTCACAGCAACTTCTAAAGACTGCTTGTTCAACTACAGCTGCATCCTATATCTCAAAAAAGTAAATCTTAGTTCAATTTCTGCCAATTGTTTCTGTAGTAAAAAAAAATTCCCACTTCTGCTGGGCAGGTTTAGAGGTTTATTATCAGTCTATGCATAACTAAAATTCAAAGCAAATTCAATTATGCTTAAGGGAACATTGTAAAGTAACAATTATTGGTATTACATTGCCTCATATGATCCATTTCAAACCACAGAGAATTAAACCTTGTGTCACTGTTTCAAAAGACAAATTTGAACAGCTAAAACATCTTAAAAATGCACCAAGCTTATGAAGTCTCAAACAAAACTTGAATTTTCTGTACATACTCCTGTCAAATGAAGTAATTTCCTGTACACCACTTCTCTTGCAAACGGGTCTTCTATTTCCTTTCATTTGACCTAGATCGGCTATGAGACCTAGAGAACATCAGGACGGCTTGTGATTTCTCTCCCGAGACAGCAATCTCTCCCTTCTCCTATCTCTAGAAAGGGACCTGCTCCGGCTGCAAGAGAAGCTTCTCCTTCTTGGAGATCTGCGACCAGGTGGAGGACTCCTCCTACGATAATCATCTCGAGGACAACGACCCCAAGAGGGAGGTGGGCCACGATTTCTACTTCTTTTTTCACTATTTGACAGTTCCACTCTTACACGGCAGCCACATAGTGTTCTTCCATCTAGCTCTTGGGCAGCATCAGCTGCATCTCGGGGATCTTCAAATTCAACAAAAGCAAAGCCGGGAGGGTTTCTAGCAACCCACACACTTCGGAGTGGTCCATAGTAGCCAAAAGCCCGTTCCAATTTGGTCTTGTTGCCATTGTTTCCAAGATTGCCTACATAAACCTTACAGTCCAATGGACAAGAATCATGATGCATTTCGAGATCTAGGATAAAAAATGCAGAGGCTCAAATCCACACGCTCTGATGCATTTTCCCGCTTTCCTCCAGCCCTACACACACCGATGCTCAAGCTCACCCAGCGTCCACGAAATGGCCCAAAAAACTTCTTTAATATACGTATTGCTAGGCTCTGTCCTCAAAGATTCAAATTCCACTATGTCTGCAGTAGGGCTAATAGGAAATCTGGCCTTAAAATACAGTGATTTGGTGTTTTAAATGATCCAAAAGACTCTACTGAACTCCATAAATTACTAGTGAAGAACAATGAAACAATACAAGGATCTTTTGAAAACCGTAATGTCAGATTCTTCCTACCAGGTTTGAACTTATGTGTGAGGTAACAATTACTGAACTATAAACCATTGGATTTTTGTTTTGCAAAATCAGTCATATTCATGATACCAGCAAATGAATTAAAAGTGTAAGAATTTAATACATATACATCAAACCAATATTAATAGCTTAAAGAAGTAATCACATTTTAATAAACAGTGGAACCGCAACAACGTTCAATTGAATAAAGATTGCCTTTGATCCATGTAGCACACCGTACGCTGCCATAGCCTGCAGCTGGATTAGCTACACATCAAATGCTATTACGATTACAAAAAGCTAAAAAAGAACACAATGACATATTTGTGCCAGCTGTGGAAGAGAGTGTGATTCATTATTCTGGGAGAGAAAGAGGGTATCAGAATTAAAATACATAAGTTCAAACATATGTTAGAAAAAACTCTGGAATAATATAACCTGATTAAACAAGAATCTAACTTTTCCCCAGTGGAGGTTTGTCACATTCCACAAGTAGTTAGTTTGAGTTTATTTATAGATATAAGTATTCTAAATAACTTTCAATATGCAAGACAATGGTCATACACAAATTTGTTCTGTTTTTCAGTTTTTGACATACTAGAGGCTACTACCACATTAACATGTGTGCTGTCGAATTGACTCACTTTTGATTAGACCTTGGAATAAATCTTTTCCTGCCATCTCTGTGCAATCTTCTTTAAATGTCCTTGATTAGAAAAAAGGTGTAGCTCTGCACTTATTTTTTCTCTTTTTTCTGTTTATTACTAGAATGGATTCAGATGTGGAATGATCTTTCTTTAATCTAAGCCTATGCACATAACTCACATAAAATCATACAAAGAAGTACAAATGTGTGCTGTTCTCAATTGTGTTGGTCAAGGCTATGAATCATCTGCTTGATGCGTGTTCTTTTCATGGTGCCATTGCCAATTGCACAATAATAAGTGAACAAGGAACTAGTCACACAAAAATAACGTTGCATCATAAACAGTATCAGGATTAACCACAAATTTTGGTTGCTGCTGTCTTATAAATAGCATCAAGATTAAACATAAGTTTTGGTTGCTATGTCTGATTCTTTTAAATGTGTGATAAGGAATTTGAGCAGTTATCATATCTTAGTAAATCAATTTTTTCATATTTTTAATATCTTACTTTTTTATATTAATAAACTTTTTTAGCACACTCGGGTTCACACAGAGAGGAAAGTACAGGAGTTTCCACATATCCTCTGTCCTCACATATGCACAACCTCCCCACTGTCAACATTCTGCACCAGAGTGGTACATTTGTTTCAACTGGTTAACCTACATGAACACATCATCACCCAAAGTTGGTCATTTACATAGGGGTTTACTCTTGGTGTTGTACATTCTATAGGCTTTGACAAACGTATAATGACATATACCATGTATTTTAGTATTGTGCAGATTAGTCTCATCGCCCTAAAAATCCTCTGTGCTCTGACTTTCGTCCTTCCCTTCCTCCTAATCCCTGGCAACCACTATTCATTTTACCACCTTTGTTGTTTTGCCTTTTCCAGCAAAAGTCATAAAGTATGTAGCCTTTTCAGATTGGCTTCTTTCACATTGTAATATCCATTTAAAGTTCCTTCATGTCTTTTCATGACTTAATAGCTCATTTCTTTTTAGCGCTGATTTACATTCCACAGTCTGGATCCACCAAAGTTGTTGTTGTTTCCATGCACCTACTAAAGGACATCTTTGTTGCTTCCCAGTTTTGGCTATTAGGACTAAAGCTGCTATAAACGTCCATGTTCAGGTTTTTACGTGGAAATAAGTTTTCATGAACCCATATTTAAACAGAAATTTCTCAGTGCCTCATTTTCAGGATACGATTTTAATTTAAATAAAGAGTTGTATGGGATTGCAAAGTAAATTATTTCAAAAACTGTGACCCTTTGCAAAGTACTCATCTCTATGAACCAGGATTTTCTCTACAGCAGGCAACTAAAAAGAAAATGCATAAATAAATTGGAAACTGAAATAGTCATCTATAATTCCAGAATTCAAATTTTTATATTTATCTAAATCTTATTGTTTGAATTCTCATTGTCTTTGAGTAAGTAATTGCTATAAATTTGAACTTATAAAATAAGTGTAGCGATACAATACAACTTTTTTTTTTTTGAGAGACAAGATTTCACCATATTGGCCAGGCTGATCTTGAACTCCTGACCTTGTGATCCACCTGCCTAAGCCTCCCAAAGTGCTGGGATTACCGGTGTGAGCCACCACGCCCAGCCAGCACAACATTTTTCTGGTTTATATACCAAACTCTAAGATTTTGTTGGGAAAAAAGGATTCCATTGTTAAAAAATAATAGTTTTAAGTTTGAAAATTACTAAAATAAACAGCCAAAGAGAGTTAAGAACGGGGGGGCAATTTTATATTCACAGGCTCGTATCTTTAGAGGGCTTATTGGAAGCTGGAAGGTTTCAATGCTGAATTTCATAACGCGGGTGTTGGATGTACTTAGGGCTTTTCTTCCTCCTCTTGGATCTTACTGCAGGGATCGATGTGATGTTAGATATGCCAATTCTGCTCCAAGGCACAAGGACCCTTTGTTTTCCAAGACCTTACTCCCAGTTATTAAACTAACAGTGAACATGACACACTTGCAATTGGAGAATGTCTCTGGCTGGTAGTTGCTTTCAAGCAACCACTTCTAGAAAGGGTGATCAAATCTTCAATGGATAGTTAGTTGACTCTGCACATCCCCTTCCTGAAGAATGACAAAAACTAAATCTCAGTAAGTTCAGTGGGCTCTCAGTTTAGTCAAGGCCTCTCACAAACCCCTCCCCAGTTTTGAGGAGGAACTGGGACTGGAGAAGAAGGAAGGACGTTGGGTTCTCAGTCATCATCATTAATCCCTGTTGACACTTTCATTCTCATCTGGTATCCCTTTGTGCAGACCATTCAAATAATAGATACAGACTTCTCATCCCAATCTTGAGGTCTCTTCAGGCGCTCAGCTGTCTCCTACCTTGTGTCTCTTGAGGGGCATAGAAAACATTTGGCTGCTCTTCTGTGTGTAGCATGAAACAGGACACATTTGCAGCCATTTCTACTCAATACCCACTTCATGCTAAAGGCAGAGGAATTTTATGAGGTCTGCCATTTCCCAAGCTCCACACGGGAAGGAGAATCAGATCCCCTCTTATCTCACAGTCTCAAGGTTTTCTGGGGGTTCTATGTCTCACCCCTCTGCATTAGAAGAAAGAGACCAGAGACCCCTTCTTCTTCTCCAGTGGCTCTCCTCCTCCCACACCAGAGTGAATCAAATTGCTGGGGCCTGGGGGTGTGGGAGGGACTACATCTGACTAATTATAGTATTCTTCTGTCTGTTCTTCATACAAAAAAATATTTTATGCTCTTAGCCTTTCAGGCCAGGTTCTGATATTTCAAAGGCTTTTTCTCTTTAAAGCCATTGTCTCTACCTGAAATTTTAAGTATATAGTTTTTAAAACCAAAAGCTAGGACTTGTCCTCTTTGACTGTTTTTCTACTCTAATGATCATCTCTGAAGATATGAATGCCTTGCCCTCATGTTTTAGTTCTAATGAAGGAATTCCTGGGAACAGGAAATACATTGATATTTCACACAATTGTCCTACTGTACACATATGAAATCAGATGCCATAAAGTCTTAGTTCACTGACTCAAAATGGACCTCTTCCTTATTAAGCTAGGTCAATTCATCACAATCAAATATGTTCAGGAAGTCAGAAAAAGTATTTCCATTAAAGATTGGTTTAGGAATGTACTATACACAAGTTCTAAGAAAACAATACTCCTATTTAATTAAAATTACTTTAAAACCTGCCATATTCTTAATTTTAAAAGTTTCTCTTTCTGAAACAGATTCAGGCTCTGCTGCAAGAAGCAATTAAGAAATGAGGATAGTTGGCCAGGGACAGTGGCTCACAACTACAATCCCAGCACTTTGAGAGGCTGAGGCAGGAAGATCACTTGAGCCCAGGAGTTCAAGACCAGCCTGGGTAACATAGTGAGGCCTTGTCTCTACAAAAAAATCAAAAAAGTTAGCCAGGCATAGTGGCACTCCAGCCTGGGGGATAGAGCAAGACTCTGCCCCAAATATATATATATATGTATATATATATATATATATATATATATACGTATATATATATATATATATATATATATGTATATATATATATATATATATATATATATATATGTCCTAATGAAGTAGGGAAACAAATAATAGACAAGCAACCCTTTGGGAAAGTAAGTCCCAGATACTCAAGAGGCTGAGGCAAGAGAATCACTTAAGTCTGGGAGGTTGAGGCTTCAGTGAACCATGATCACGCCACTGCACTCCAGCCTGGGTGATGGAGCAAGATGCTGTCTCATTTAAAAAAAAAAAAAAAAAAAAAAAGGCCAGGCGCGATGGCTCAAGCCTGTAATCCCAGCACTTTGGGAGGCCGAGGCGGGTGGATCACGAGGTCAAGAGATAGAGACCATTCTGGTCAACATGGTGAAACCCCGTCTCTACTAAAAATACAAAAAATTAGCTAGGCATGGTAGTGCGTGCCTGTAATCCCAGCTACTCGGGAGGCTGAGGCAGGAGAATTGCCTGAACCCAGGAGGCGGAGGTTGCGGTGAGCCGAGATCGTGC